GTCTCTTTTGAGATCGATATTTCAGAACGCGAAATACGAAAACCCATATAACATCAGATTTATTCCATATTTAGTCAGTGGTTTCACGATCGAAACCCACATCAGCGTTGCTGCCAATGTACCTAGACGAACACACAGATATGTATAGATTGTACACGTAGCGAATAGAACAAGGTGGTAGGGTGGAATTGTGTTTACCTCTCCATCCCCCGATGACAATCGGCAAACACACTTCGATGTAGGATTGTTGCGCACTGCTGCACGCCAAACTGCCTTTGTGTACGTAGTATACTTGCACAAATCTGCAGATCAGAGACGAAATTCTCGAAAATTCGCATTCACACTTCACGAAAATTCACTACTTCACTCTACTTCGACTTACTAGTTTCATAACGAATTTTGTACTGCGATTATCGCAATTTCTTCGATACTCCCGCCAAACGATTCGATTGTAGAGGGCGTCGTTGCACACTATCGAACCTTCATAAATTAAGTAGGGGCGATCTAATTGTTTCCTTATTAGGGAACAAATACGGAAATTTCATTGATTATTAAACACAACAAAATATCTATATACGTAGCTAGTATTCTGATTTGATATATTATTTAAAAATTCTGGACTTTGGAAAAATAGAAAAAATTCTTTCAATAAATTAAAAGTGTAGGATAAACGATACTAATTTTAAGTGCGTCGATTTAATTTATTAGAAGAAATGAAACTGTTTTTCGCTGTTAACCACTCTTCAGGTAAATATCAAATCTTCATTCAAAACATCTGCAATAGTACTGTGTAGAAACATCACGTTTCCATTTTAAAAACCAATTTTTATTCCACTTCTATTCTCGCAAAGCAGCACCAAAAAAAAAAGCAGTAGGACGTTACTGAGATTTAACGATCAATAAAATGGGATAATTAAATCATGAGAAAAAGCCCTTTAGAGAAAATAGAAGACAAAACGAATTAAATCACGGACAATATTGTAGCGTATTCTCGGTCGGTAATAACGCGTAGAACGATTCGATTCGTGCACCAGTATCGATCGAGGGACCAGGCGCAAAAGGTTACGCGGGCGTAGATGGAGGTGCGGGGTTTCTTGGACGCGCTTGAACATCGTTGCGGTGACGAGCATGTCATATCTTCGCGTTTCATGCGAAGCAGAGAATGCACGTAACCAGCGCAAAGCTGTCTTCCGCCCAGTTCTCGTGAACACTTCACCCACCAGACAATAGTTTACCGTATCGACCTATTCTCCCTCTCTCTTTCGTACGTGGCTTCTCCCTCCGTGCTTCGTTCTCATCTACCTCCTCATGCCACCCCGCTCCAGCCAACCACGAACTTGCTCTTCTGGCCTTCCCTTCGTGCCTTTCCGCAGATCCAACTTGTTTCTGTGTGCCATGAACTCCGAAGCTTCCGAGTCCACTTAGGAACAGCTGCGAACAATCCACGAACAGTCGCGATACTTTCCAAACTTTTCGCCGATATTTTCGAAAGTTTCCCTTTGTGTTCGGGTCTCTTGATGTTCTGAGTTATAGTCTTTATACTATCCTATTCGCAATCTTATTTCTTTGCACAATTATATCTTATCTTTAACAAATAAAGGAACAATCCTAAAATTCAGTAATTAGAGCCACATTACCAAAACTATCCTATTTACAATCTTGTTTTCTTCCTCGATTATGAGCTAATGTCACATGTGACCATCAAAGAGAAAAATATGATAAGCAATTTTTACATTCAATAATCTGTTCATCTAGTTTTAAAAGATTTATATATATCTTGGAATGTAACAAGTTGTTCTCTTTCCAACTATCATAGCTAACAAATAACATGAAAATTAAAAGATCAAGAAAAATTGAAATTTTCCTCTATGCGCCCTTTCATATAGATCTAACTTTGTTCTCGTTGAGTATATCATAGGCTAAATCTTGTATATCACGAAGCACAACGAAACTAATGAGAAATCACGGCCTTACAATTTATTATCAAAAGAGCAAAATTTTATCAAGACATTTAATCTCATTAAACCAGAAGAAATTCTTCATCCATATAATAAACTTGCGAGTTTAATGGAAATTAAATTCAGTTTGCTTGAGTCCGAACGCCGCTCGTAGACTTCGCACCGTCACGGTTTCCGAAGGTCGAGATTTGTTCCAAAGTTTGTATGAATGAAACTTATCCTAATATCTCCGTGAACGGTGTGCGGCTTTCTTCGGACAGTTCTAGTCGGGGAACAGCGTCGACCAAAAGTACAGAAAGTCCACGGGAGAGAGAGCACGTGCAAGCAAGGGTCGGTTGTTTCCGAGCTCGTTCGAATCGTTTCAACCCAGGGTCAGTGGAACGTGCTTGTGTACGAACTGTCCGCAACTGTCATTCACCTCGTGGCTTGCCACGCGTTCGCGGCGGATATTTCCGTATGGTTTGCGGGAAAAAGTTATCACGGGGTCGGGGAAAAATCGAAGTGCCACAACGGATGAGTTTTCGCGGCCTGAGACTTCTCTCTCATTGGTTACACACAAAGAGAATGAGAATATTGAAAAAAAAATGTTTCCCAATCACCACCGGTTACAACCTGGAGAATTGTATCTGTACGGTCTGATTCGTACACCTAAATGTCATTTCGTTTGTATTTCTTATTAATAGAATAACACAGGAACAAAACATGATGAGCACATTTTTCTTCATTTTCTGAGGAACATATGTTTAGTACTAAAGCCAAATAAAAAGACAATTTCGATAGTATAAGATTGATTGGTTAAGCTATTGGATTTTAGAACGGCTTCCCTGTGAAAGGTAGGAAATTTCACTTATCTTGTTCTTCTCCTGTAATCTTTAATTAAAGATGCAGAAAAAGTACAAATGACTAAAAAGCCTGGAAGAACGCTAAAAGAAATTTATTCTTATACTGCGTAGGAGAACTTCGTCGGCGTATCATTTGCAATTTTCATTTAAAACTTTCATGCATTCTGTCTCGCACATTTGATGAACATACACACACACACACGCAGTAACGAACTTAGAAACTTAAGTCCGCTTTTACGCTATTTCATCGCATAACGATGCAGCTGAACGTTTACGTCCAAAAGCATACATTTAATGCAAACAGGAAAAAGAAGAGAAAAATACGAGCACTTTTTCGAATACATCTGGCTCTATCCACGGTCATTCAAGGCCTCATTACAGTCGTGTATCGTTGTGTATATCGCTCATTGAGCTTCGCGTGAAAAGCTGGCCTCGTTAACGAAGTACGGTCGCAAAGCTGTTTTCCGGAGCCCGCGTGTTCTTCGTTCGACGACACATCAACTGTCACTGAAGACGATTTTTCAACATCTCCGGGATATAAAAGGCGGCCATACTGACCCCGAATCGCGGGTTATCGAATCGTGCCTTCACCGACAGATAGACATCGAGATGCGTACTGACATACAGTGTGCGAGCGTTGTTCGCGTGACAGCGAGCCAAGCGTACTCTTATGCCCGTGGTTCTCTCGTCTGACAGCCGTGACCTTCGAACGTTTATCGGTAGAAAACTTTCTTCGGGATTTCGCCTCCGCTCACGGCTAAAAAGTCGAACGCTCTAGTTCTTCGCTACATAGTGATTTCTCGCCTTTGAAGATTCGAATAAATCGATGAATCAAGAAACAAGTGAAAATAACGGGTGATGATGGAACACGGAAAGGATGGAACTGAGCAGTATATTTTTAACAGGTAGGCTTCACGTTAAATAAATAGTTAGATCTAAATTTTTTGAAATAATACGATACTCGATGAATGTTAAAGATTTTGAACAGAAACTTCTGTTAGTGATTTTAAGCTATTGTCTCGGTTTGCTTGTTGATTTTATTACAGTAAATGTCCGAGGGTAACATGAGAGAAAGGATATAATACGAACTATCAAAGAGTAGATTGTAATATTTGCCGTGTAATATTCTGTTAAGTATAGCAAGCTGAAACTTCTGCTTTCCCCAAAGTTATGTAACTGTTCGATCTATTTCACGTCCCAGGTGAATTGGTGTCAGTCGCTGATAATAGTAATAAATAGCTGAAGCAACGATTCAGCCTCGTAAAATTTTAGAAAGTGCTCCGGTCCAGATAACTTCCGGCTTCGTGAACTAATCTTCTCCGTTTTCTGGTAGTTCAACTTGGTGGTGAGGTAGGTCGGCATAGTTTCCCGTTGATGCCGCCTTTCTATTCGAACGACTCGCCAGGGAACAAGGAAGCATAACACGGTTGGGTGTCGCGACGCCAGACGCGGTTGCATTTACGAAAAGGATGGAAAAATGAACGCTCGTTGCTTAGAGACGTAAATGCAGTTAAGTTCTGCCTGGATGCGTCCAGCAGTTCTCAATATTCTTGATGCGAAACACCAACCTATTCTCTTCTTCTAAAAATTCTTCTTACAATTAGAAAAGAAAAACTTATATGAATTAAACTCGTAGTTCTTTATTAGAACAATACTTGAAACGTTGAAAATTATTACAATAATACAAAGTAAAAGGTAAAATTGTTTACTCTGAAGAACATAAAAAGAAATATAGAAACCTTCTCCGAATATAACTCGTAACTTCTATATACATTTTCAGAATGATTTCGGATTTTACCAATATAAATATGATAGTCGTGTCTCATTACAATGCTAATGAAATTTCGAAATGACCTATATAACAGATACAATAAAAAAAAAATAAAAATTTTCGAATACTTTCACGAGCCAGTTTAAGTGAAAGATATAAATTTTGGAAAGGTAATAGGAAGGAAAGCCATCTTAAACGCAAACCGCTTAAACGCGGCGTTTGAAGGTTAGCAGGCCTCCTGGCGTCGTATCACCGTCTAATAAAATGACTGGTCGTCTGACCAGCATAACCTCGCCAACCCATCGACCCCCGCTATACGTTCCTGGGATAAACGCAGAGAGTAAAGAGGCGGAGGTGGAGGAGGAATAGAAAGAGGAGGACGAAGAGGAGGAGGAGGAGGAGGAGGAGGTGGAGAAAGGTGCAGGAGGAGGAAGAGGGTGGGCAGGGTCGAGGGTGAACCCCTTATTGATTTTTAGGGTGACACTGTCAACCGGCGAGTGTTGAGTCCCCCGCGACGGGAGGGACTTTGAAACGACGAGGAGTGAGAAAAAATGTGGCGGCCGCTGCGCCATTCCACGCGCGAAAAACATCCCTTCTTTACAGTTATCTTCTTTTTCATTTTCTTTTCTCATGGTTCTGCGATCGATTAGAATTTCATACGCGAATAAAGATGATTAGGAAACTGTCCGATCCTCGCTTTCCGCTAGAAACATGAAACATTTTTTCGTTGTGTAAAAGTGGCGAGTGCGGCGTCGGCGGCAGCGGTGGCGGTGACAGAAAAGAGTAACTGTGGCGAGGCGCAGTCCCGTTGCGGTCGGGGGTTTAGCTCTCGGCGCAGGGCCGTACGCATCCGTGGGCGACTCTCCACGTGGAACAGCTGCCTTCTCGCGTCGTCTTGCATGTTTTACACGTCTCGGGCATTCGGATCGCGGTTTTAATTCTCGGGAAGCGATATCACGCTGACGGTGGACAAATTTCCTTTCAATTCTACACGTTTTTTTTCGCACCTTCGAGTCATAGTTGACGTCCAGTTTATTTTTCTTTTTTCCATTCTTTGTAATCGTTTGGCCGAGCCACGCCACCACGCCGTGAGTCGTCCATGAATGAGCAGCGAATGACGCGTGTGTTTCCCGTAATCGTCTTTCGTGCTCGATCGCTCCTCGATATCCTTGCTTGGTGACGTGTGTTCTTTGTGCGCCACGCTTTCTGGCTGTGCTGCACGCAGAAAGTTACGAGAGTTAACTTTCGAGTGTTCGCGGAAACGGTGCGCCAACGGAGGAGGAGGATTAAAGAAACGCATCGTGTGTGTGGTGTTTCTTCACGTCGCGTCGGTTTCTAATTTGCCGCAGCGGCAGGGAGAGAAACGTTTGATTGAATATCGAAGGGAGGAAGTGTGATAAATAATAGCGAGCGGGAGAGTAGTGCTTTGGAGGACGCGTGTTGGCTGGTCGTTTCCGTTGGTGGTGATTGTTTTCTCACTTAACTTGGCCCGTTTTGGTGCATCGCTCTTTACGAACTGAGCCGGCATCTCATGTTGTTTACAAATCAAGGCGATTACGTTACTGCACGTCCTGTACACACTGTGTTACTCGCATGCAACAGGCGACACCGCGTTGCCAAAGTTTCCTCTTGATTAATCGATCGGAAATTACAGCCGGTCAGAGTGATACCTCTCAAGGATTTGAATGAATCGCGCGGTTCACTGATAGACGCAGAAGAGACATTCAGAGAAACCGAGGAAGAAGGAACGAAGCGTAGAGGAGCGCGCCGCATTGGCGTAGAGCCGGCAAGAACGGTCGCGTCTAGGGAAAAATCGGTGAATAGTTTCGGGTGCACGCGCAAGGAATATCAGCCGTGTAATTACGCGAAGGTAGCGCGCGGCTTAGAATCAATACGACTGGATTACTTAGGCGACGGTTTAACTCCGAGGATCGAGAGAAAGCGTGGCTAATAGCCGACAAAACACGCGTGTCTAGCGGCCGAACGATTTTTCGACTGGCGTTTAAAGGCACAAGGCAAACGACGCAGAAAAGACGAGCTGCACTACGGAGTTGCTGCGTATGCCTTGATGGGGTGTGCTTTCAGTGTGTTTGGGCGGGGTGTGAGGCAGTCGTTGCTACCGCGTCGGCTCATGCAGCCGGTCTGTTAAAAATGGCAGCGTCGTCCGATTTTTATGTATCGGATAACAATTATTGGCTACGACCGAGGAAGAAATCCAGTTGACATCCGGGCGCGGGCAGTTAGGAGGGACAGTGAGTACTGAACACGTGGTCCGTTGAGGGAGCAGCTAGTCTAGTTTACTACTAGGTGCGTGTGTCGACTAGCTACACCCCTGGCGCACGTGCGTACGTGTATTTCCTCGAGTCGTCGCGAACGGTGCACGTGTGAGTGACAAATCGCGAGTGAAAGTGCTGGAGACTAGTGACTTTTTTTCGTGCCGTCACGCGTTCCTCACAGGCTTCCTGTATTTTCATTCGCGAAACCTGTCTTGACAGTTAAAACTTGACGTTTCGGAACGTCTGTGTCGATACAATCACGTTCGTCCAGTGTTTACCATGTATCTTTACCTTATGGTTAATTAAATCAATGAAGTATACGTATGGTAAACAAAAATTCGATCTTTCTAATGGTTACGGAGAATTATTACGATTCGTTCGATGTGAATTAATGCGTGGTTAAAAACCTTCAGTAAATACGAATACGAATACGAATACGAATGCTGTGGCGCCACCTGCACGCTACGTCCCTGACAAGGGTCGTCTGTTGACTCTGGTGGTGTTTATTCGCGCTTGCCTCTTCTCTCTCTCTCTCTCTCTCTCTCACTTGCACCGAGTCATTTGTGTTTGGACGATCGTGAATTTTTTTGCAATGTGACGAGAAAATGAATGAAGATTAGCGTGATGTCGGACCTGTGCACGCGCCTAACAGTGGGTGCGCGCCTGGATCTCGACTCGAAACTTGGTGGAACGTCTTGAAACAGGTCGAAAATCAGCATGAAAATGCCGGCAACGCGACCGTACAGGTGCCCATTGTTATTCACAGCTTTCACAGTTTTCGATGAGACGGTGCATCGACAGACTGCGAATCCGGACTCCTGAAAAGTATCGTGAATCGTGCTTCGTGCGCTTTAAGTCCCCTCGCCGTCGGTGGGACTCGCGAAACGCGTTCTAACCGCACTATAGGTTAGGTTACCGGCACATAACCTTAATTCAATTCTAAGGAAAACTCGAGTTGTTACACATGCAGGAATTGAAACGTGACCTTCTTGTGATCTCATTTAATTGAGAGTTAAACGTATCTAGGAAGATTGACCTTTTCTTTGCCAAGTGCTGATTCCTACATTGTGGGTGATCGGTGCAATGGAATGATCTGGGTGACTATAGGACAATGAAGGCCAATGGGACAAACAATGGTGATTTTACTTTGCTTCTCTGTTTTTTAGAATTCTTTAGAAATGCTATGTTATATATTACTTTATGTAAAGTGGCGTTAATATAAGCATCAGAGTTGTTTATTATTAGATTACTATTAGAGTTGTTTACATGCATCGATATGCTATTCTCATAAATGTACCGTACATGAGATTGCTTAAAAAGGTTATTGTGTTAAATATAGATAGAATATAAATATAATAGCAAAGCTAATTATCTGTATTGCACATAAATAAGCTTGATAACTAAACGAATCATTAGAATCTTCACGTACTACATGAAAACATTTATATATTGAAGATTTTATACATTATAAGTGTATCTGTATCTATAAGAATGTGCAATATCGAAGGTAATAAGAGGAATAGTATTAAATAATGGAGTTGTAATAAGTATATTATATCGGTATAATAGTATATCATTATATATGCTATTCGAATATTACTTCTCTTATCTTTTGGAATCTATGTATATGTACTAATATGTATATTATATTATAACATACTTCATTTTGGCATTTCTGTAACGTCATAACAGTTAATTCATAATATAACAGAAAGAGTTCCTTCATCTTTTAAAATTTTTGTACTTTCAAGTGTACGCACTATAGTATAACACATTTAATTCTTATGTTCTGGTAATATGAGATCAATTACTCTAAAGTACAACAGATATAACATCATGCATTGTTTAAATTTTCAGGCTGTAGCCGCCTAAACACGCCATTGGCAGCCACTACCACGCTGGAGGATCCGGGAACACCAGCCTCTTGGAAGGGCCCGCCGCCCGGCTCGGAGGCATCGCCTTTTACACCCAACTCCGTTGGCCAGGGTGGTGGCCCTGGCTCCGGTCCTTACAACAGTACAGGTGGTCCACCGAGCAATGCGGCCTTCCAGGGTCCGAGTCCTTTCCCCGGTGGTGCTGGTAGTCCAGCAGGGGCACCACCCTATCAAGGTCCTCCTCCCGGTTCCGCGACTCCTCAATATACTGCCTCGCCAGCGCCTAGTGGTTCCTCGACACCTGGTCCCGGACCACCGCCGAATTCGTCGGGCTTCCCTCCGCCGCCGAATAATTCCGGCCCACCGTATAATGGGCCCGGACCGAGCC